AGAAGACCAAGAAGTTATACAGTAGTATCATTCAAAAGTCAAGCAGATATAAATATAACTACTAAAAAAAAGCTCTAATACAACAGAGTCTTGATATTCTGAGAAGTTAAAACAAGAAGAATTAATAAAGAATTTTATAAAAATGGTAACAAGATATAAAAGATACAAAAAAAAGAAGAGATAGCAAAATATGTAGCATTATAGATCCAAAGCATAACATATAAAAAGTGTCATAACACAAACACATTTGTATTATATTTTCGTTGCACTAAGATACAAATTTAGGCATGCGGTGCGACTAACAAAAAATTACCAATTACGTTTTTGATATAATCTTCATATTGTTTATGCAAAGGCATCAAAAAGATAATTTTTGGTCAAATGCATCAAAAAATAATTTTTGTATCACTTTGCATATAAAATAAATAATTATTGCTTAACTAATTATAAATACTATAAATTAAATATAATACTTGTAGAAATTTCTACAGAATCATTAGATTTACTAGATAAAGCATCTAATATCATTATAAAATGGTTAATTTTGATAAACAATTTAATTTAATTTTAAAATAAAAATCTTTAATACCTTTAATTGCATCTGATATTTTTCGTTTGTTAATAGCTTTACTAGTATACATAAAGTCAGAATGTTTCGATGAAATAATCGGCAATTCTTTTGCCATTTGATCTGCTTCTGAGAATTGCTTTTTAATAGTTAAATCATTTAAAGAGTTATAATTAAATAAATTTATATTATCTGAATTATCATCTAAATCATTTGCATTATCTGGACCGTCATCTAACTTATTTGCATCATTTGAACCGTCATAATCTAAATTGTTGGCATCATTTGAAGTTTCCATAATGTTATTCCATTCTTGAAGCATATAATACACATCCCTAGCATTAGGTCGTTTCTGTGGATCAGAATCCATGCATTTTTTAGCAATTTCAATATAGCAATCCGGAGTTCTAGAAGCAAATCCAGGCCGCAATCCATTAATAATATTGATTGCGAGATATTCGTCCAATTCATAATCATCAAAAGGTCTTTGTCCAGTTGACATCTCTGACATGATGACTCCGAATCCGTAAATATCAGCAGCTTTTGTAAACTTTTGACCTGATAGAACCTCAGGAGCGACATAAGGAATAACTCCATAAATATCACTTTTTGAGCCATTTTCGTTTTCATCATCCTTTTTTGACAGTCCTAGATCTGAGATGTAAGATTGCATATTTTTACTAGTGTCACTTCCATCTTCTAAAATATTACCGCTGTGAAAATCTGCATGAATATATCCTGCTTTATGAATTTCAGATAAATCGCGAGAAATATCTCTAAGTATTTTTAATTTAATTTGCCAGGTAAGATCGCGAAAGTTTTTTTTTAAAAACTTGTGAAGACTTCCATTATCAGCATATTGAAATACCATCAAATATTCTTTATTTTTACTGTTCTGCGTTAATCCGTATACTTTAAGTTTACTACCATACCAGGTACATTTCATATGATTTTCAAACTTAATTAAATAAATTAAATAAACATAATGAGTTAGTTTAATAATTGCTGAATAATAAATTTAACTTACTTCTTTTAAAGAATCAGACAAGGTCTTGAGTGCAACGATGCTGGATGGTTCACGTACTCTTACATAATTAAAATCATTGCCGTCAATTTTTCGTATACCATCCAACCAAATTGCCGAATATACGGTGCTAAATCCTCCTTTGCCAATTTCTTTAATATCAGATAATCTATCAAATGGAATCCATTCAATTGCACCTTCATATCTATAGGTTCTAAGTTGCAACGCTTTCAGGCAATCGTCAATATCCTTACTTCTACTTGTCCACCTTGTTATTATGTCAGGGTCACATGATAGACACCATGCTGGCCGCGTGTTATCTTCATTACAATGTGCACATTTTCCGTATTTAGAGTAGCTTTATAACAACAATATATAGTAATAGTATTTTATTTCATCTGCTAATGCCATTTCAAACTATATAAAATGTAAATAATTTTTGTACTTACCGACTAAATTAATGCGTATGAAATGATTTGAATGGTATTGTGTAATGATTGATCTGTGAACCTGTTTTCAATTTCAAATAAATGTTTTTTTTTTATACTTACCGACTATATTAACGCGAATTTAAATGATTTGAAGGTATTACGTAATAATAAGTAAGAATTTACGTTCTTGATTATGAACTTATTTTGATTCCCAGATGTTCTTTATACTCACTCACTGAATGAATGATTAATGCGAATAACATAATTTGAAGGGTATTACCAATAGCAATGGTAAATAAGTATTTATGTTCTTGATTTGTGAACGTTTTTTTTAATTCCAATGGTTAATAAATTTTCTTTATACTCACAAGCTGAATGAATGATTAATGCGAATGAAATGATTTGAAGGGTATTACATAATAGTAATAGTTAATAAGTATTTATGTTCTTGTTCTGTGAATTTGCTTTGCTGTTTTAATTCCAATAGTTAATAAATGATCTTTATACTCACGAACTGAATGAATGATTAATATGAGTTAAATGATTTGAGAGGTATTACATAATAGTAATGGTAAATAAGTATTTATGTTCTTGATTTGTGAACTTGCTTTGCTGTTTTTAATTTCAATGATTAATAAATGTTCTTTATACTTACTGGCTAAATTAATGCGAATGAAATGATTTGAAGGATATTACGTAATATTATATAAGTATGATGTTTTTGGTTTGTGAACTTGGTTTTAACTCTAATTATTAATAAATATTCTTTATACTTACAGACTAAATCAATTCAAGTGAAATGAATGATATTATGTAATGGTAAATAAGTATTATGCTCTTGATTTGTGAACTTGGTTTTAATTTCAACAATTAATAAATATTCTTTATACTCACACACTGAATGAATGATCAATGCAATGAAATGATTTGAAGTAAGGTTAATAAGTATTTATGTTTTTGATTTGTGAATTTTTTTAATTCCAATTATTAATAAATTTTCTTTATACTCACGAACTGAATGAATGTTTAATGTGAAAAAAATGGTTTGAAAGGCATTATATAATGGTAAATAAGCGTGGCAGCTTATGCTGAGAATTTGACCTATTTTATTTGAAATTTTTTTCATAGTTAGGTTAGGGTTAGTATTATTAATAAAAAAGTATATGTAGATTTTTTGGTAGATATTATATATTTAAATAGGTACCCCAAATCTCGGCATAAGCCACCACAATAAGTATTTATGTTTTTTGATTTGTGAACTTGTTTATAATTCCAATAATTAATCAATGTTCTTTATACTCACGGACTAAATTAATACAAATAATATACTTATGAGCTTAAATAGATAATATCTAGATTAATAGATTTATTTATATTTACTCTCTGAAAATTAAAATTGGATGATTAAAATTATATAGAATATTTCTAATTTAAAAATTTAAAATAATATAAATCAAAATAGCATACTTATTAATCCACATCGACTTATGATAATTATTTTCCACACCGATTCCGTAATTGTAACAAATGGCAGTTTTCCGAATTCCCATGGAATTACCCGCTTTAGCTGACTTAAGATAATATGAAAATGCTTTGTCTTTATCTTTTTCAACTCCAATTCCTAAATAATAGCAATATCCGACTTGATACATTCCGTTGGAATTATTCATCTCTGCAGATTTTTGATAATAAACGAATGCTTTGCTTTCATCCTTTTCAATTCCAATTCCGTGTTCATAGCAATAACCAAGCAAATAAATTCCGTTAGGATCATTTATATCTGCCAATTTTTGACAACTATTAAAATTCAATTTACTATTTTCCATTTTGATTTATGAAAAAAAAAACCAGTAATAATCCAACCAACATGCTGACAATATTGCTATATTTTACTTATAGTGTGGTTATACAATATTTTAAATTGAACCGGTGCAGTGTTGCACAGCATTCAGCCCAGGGATGTTAAATGACCAGTCATGCGACGAACAATATCAGACATGCTTATTATTAATCATTTCGACAATATTATTCTTATAATTATTTTAATAATTACTTATATAGTGTCGCGGGTGGATTAACGATCACCATAACGAACACAGAATCCAAAAGAAGAGACGAATTGTCGCTAGACAAAAACGTTCCTCGACAGCCGGGCCGGCCGGGGTCAATCCATATCACTGCTTAAAATACCTAATTAAACGTTATAAAAAATTTCTTGTTTTGAGCTAATTTAAGCTTTAATACTAACCTAACTCAAGATGGATAATACTTTGAAATAATTTGCGTTAGATAATTGGTTATTATTTTTACAAATACATATAATTTTATATCCTTTCTAGGGCAGCTGCTTTACATAGCTATCTTATTTAATAAATTTAATACATTAAAGAGATCGAAAAATTGATCTGTTGTGCTATGTCGTTAGCGCAGAATTTCCATGGTACTGTACGTATGCTCAACTTTCACAATGTACGAAAAAAAATAATGCTGAAATATGTTTTCTGTTGCACTAAATTATAATTTATGCAAATAAATTTTTTCCGGAATTTACTTGTCGTTTTAGCGTTGATAAGAGGTTCTCAGAAATATTACAAGTGTTTTGGCATAATTCTAAACCATCGTGTAATATTCCATAATCAGTATATACCATTTAGGTTATTTATTTATTTTTGTGCTTCGTTATACAAACAAAAAACCGGGATATACTTAATATAACGATAAAAAATTTTGGTTTAAATTGGAAATTTCTATAATGATATCGATATGGGTAACTAACTTGGTAATTCCCATTTTGGAAAGATCTTTCAAATTCTTAAATACAAATCTTGACACAAAACCATATTTCATAAAATTATACCTTAACAAACAAACAATTCGTTTTCTGAAAATAATAAAAGATGAAAAAAAAAGAAAAAGTAGGCATCAAAATGCTTAAATCTGAAAAGAACATTACTAATAATAACGATGTGTCTTTAAACTATACTGAGCCATCTTCTGAAGAACCTTTACTGTGCCCGTTTAAAACAAAATCCTCAACTCCAAGCATTATATCTCCAAGCATTATATCTCCAAGCATTATATCTCCAAGCATTATATCTCCAAGCATTATATCTCCAAGCATTATATCTCCAAGCATTATATATTCAAGCATTGGATCTCCAAGCCCTAAATCTCCGAGCACTAGATCTCTAAGCATTAAATCTCCAAGCATTATATCTGGAGTATCGTCCTCTTCAGAAAGTGTTAATTCTAGAATAATGTTTTCAGGAAATGATAAGTTCAGAACATTTTCACATGACAGTTATTTGCCTACGAATAACCCGTTGAATAATATTGAAAATCGTGTCCAGCAGTTGGAAGAACTGTTAAAAAATAAAGATGAACAGTTAAATGAGCAAGCTGAAATTATAAACCAAATGTTGAGTAACAAATTTAAAAAATCAATACACAGACGGAATATTTTAAAATCAAAAATATTTAAATCATGTAAATTAAAATTTTATTTTTGTTTTATTTTATTTCATGTCAAAATTTTATAAATGCTTTTCATATTAAAAAGTATATGAATGTGGCAAATAAAAATGAAATCTTGTATAATATAAAATAACAAGCTACCGAAAAATAAAAGCTTTATAAATGCTTTCATATTAAAAAGGTTATGAAATCTATTTAATATGGCAGATTAAAATGAAAATTTGTATAATATAAAATTGACAAGCTACCGAAAAATGAAAATTTTAGTGTGTTTTTTTTAGAGTTAAGGGACAACTTTAGGGGTAGAATTTATAATAAACATGTATAAATGGAGTGGGTTTTAAGAGGTTAAATAAAAACTCCAAAATCATTTTAATCCAATTTCACTATGACCCGCGACATTTCATATTGTGTTGTCAACTTCAAATTTTCGCATAAAATTTTATGATCGCAAGAACCGATCATAAATTTTCAATAGCATGTGGTAAAATTTCCTTAGTTCACATCTATAAAAGGCATCAAGTTGTTAAGCGGTAGTTGCTGTAGTTTGTTATGAAGCGTATTGAGCTTTTTTAATGCGTGTAACCGTAGCTAATGACAAGCGAATCGACAAGACTCATAAGAATCTTAAGCTGTAATAACCAAATGAATAAATAAATATGCGAATCAAATTATTTGTTTTATGAGATTTATAAATGTATTTTTGATTGAGGATTTAAATTTTAATGTCATCAGTTTAATAAAAAAAATTCTTTATAAAATTATTAGACAACTTGATATAAATTATAATTAAACTTGAATTGATTCTATATAGACATAGCTTCACTTTTGATCAAACTTGTTAATTATATTTTCAATTCTTTAGTCTAAATTTCATCTGTAACAAATAGCAAAGTGTCGAATAAGAATTAAATGGATCATAAATGATAGATATTAAGGTTTTCTAAAATTTCACTATGTTTATGTCGAAGTTGCAATTGAATTCGTTAAACAAATGCAAAATTAATGGATGGCATGATATTTCATTGCTGTTTAATCCACTAATTTCAGATTTGATCAATAGGTTCATTGTTACGAAAATACCGAGGACAAGTGTGTTATTTGAATAACGATTATTAGATTTATTGTAAGGTTAAGCTAACTATAAAATATTTATAACATCAACAATTAGAAATTTGGGATTAAGAAGTTAGGTGACAGGGATGAATAACCCCTTCCTATTTGTGATATTACTTGTGTGTATGTGTCGGGATAATCACGTATTATGTCCTCCAATTGGCTAATTTCCTTTGTTGGACTTGTATTACTCTCACGTCACGCCCAAACTACCAAAACCGGAAATTCTTTAATAGGAAATTACCGACTTTAATGACAATATTAATATGTTTATATTTACTTTGAACCACCCAAAACTGATATGCATGGCGTACAGTATCAGGCACCAGAAACCTTATAAACTATATGCGTATTAGATTTATATAGTAGGAACGGATAGTTTTAATCGGCTCTAAATTCATTAGGAGGTTCAACAGCATTACAATACTGACACAAGTATCATAAAAGAATTTTCGAATATAATTTAAGAATGCACGTAACTTTAATTGCGTTAAATTGATAATATATCTGGTTTTCATAAACACATTAATAATGTAAAGAAAAAAACTTTGTTATACTCTTTTAACTCAATTAAATGCATTTTATTATTAGCAACACAAAATTTTGTAAACTTTTAAAATTCCTATGTAAAATATTAAATTATTTATGGCCTTCTGTTTTTTTTGATTTTATTGAAATTTGCTACCATGTTATTTGATATATTTTTTTGCATGTACTGTAATTTTCACGTGATAAATCAGGTTATATTTGTTGCATCTATAGTACGTAGTGATCTTAAATTAGATCTTCATGCATTAATTTGTAATTTTAGCCAGGGCACTACTTTAGATATATCGATATAAAGTAGCTACTTTTAGATAAATCGCTACTTCAGATGCGACATATTCAAGATAAATAAGGAAATACCCAAAAAGGACAAATATGTGGTGCATTTTTCAGTATCGGTATTAACAAATTAGATTGAACTGGTTTTATTTAATCCATGCTTTAAAACATTTATATAAACGAAGGTTGTTCATCACTACCTGTTATATCATTCCTCTGTAGAATCAATTCTGGCACCATTACAAATAAACATAAAGTTTAGGGTCCGGAATTTTTGAAGGCTGTAAAAATTGTGTTTCGCAATTGTGCACAAGCCGAAATCAGTATGTATGATAACGATAAACCCACTTTCGGCAGATTGGTTCCATTTGTACCTTACACGTGCTGCTGCCAGTCGGAGGTCTTTAAAGTCAGTGGAATCGGGCCTACTGGCTGGGCCAGGGTCTGATTCCACCTGACTTTAAAGACTTCCGACTGGCAGCAGCACGTGTAAGGTACAAATGGAACCAATCTGCCGAAAATGGGTTTATCGTTATCATACATACTGATTTCGGCTTGTGCACAATTGCGAAACACAATTTTTACAGCCTTCAAAAATTCCAAACTCGTACGGGATACCGATTCCGAACCCTATATAAAATATTGTACGTACATATACTTTTAACGTTAATACGTAATTACTTGTTTTGTAAATAAATTTTAAATTGGAAATTACTTTATTTACCATTGCCTATTTTTTTCAGAAACTTCTATAGAATATGTACTTCATTTAATATTTATATATATGGAGTATGGTCATTCTACGTTTTACTCAAATCATGGAT